CCAGACGCCACCTGAGTGATGAAGCGAAAATGCGAATGAAAAGAAAAGGAGTGGCTGAAATTGTAAGTTGTTGATCATGACGATTAAAAGAAGCTAAGCGCATTTCCCCCCCAGCGAAAGAGGAGGAGGGACTCCTGTACTCCCGTTTAAAAAGAGATTTTAAAAGAGAAAGGGGGGAGAACGAAAACTGAAAAGGGTGGTGCCACTCGGCGATGGAATGTTTGATAGAAAGCTATGAAGATATATCTTTTGACTACGCTTTGCGAACTTTGTCTAATGTAAACAAAATAAATAAGATGTCGGTGCTGGAAAATGAACTGCGCAACAAGAAGGGAGGAGCTTCCGGTCTGAACGATAGTTTCCTCTGGGAAATCTGTTGAAAGGTTCTGAGCTGCGACGGACGAGGAAAATGCCTTTAAAGTGGAGGTGCGGATAAGGGATCCAGCCACAAGAACGACAGCGTTTATTTTAAAGTCGAAAGACATAAAAAGAGAAATAATCGTTCTAAAAGCTTGGGACTTTATCGGGAAGGCGTGTTGAAAAGCGGCAGCTGCAGACTGTGATTGGAAAGCGAAGACCCGGAAGAGAAGTTAAGAAGCTGGAGAAGAGAAGGAGGAGGAGGACCCTTCCTGTCTTTTCGGAGGAAAAACCAGCCCGAAGATAGAAGAAACAACTCGCAAGGCGTTTGAAAAGTCTTTTTTTTTATTAACAGCATAATAGTGGGACACTACTAATTTCTTAACAATTGTTTATAATTGAGAAGATGAAAGATGATTGACAACACAATGAAGCCAAAGAAGAACGTTTTTTTATTATTACTAACAGATTAATATACTAATGAAAACATCACTCGACCTTTTCTTTGCCCCTCTATATACCCTCCCCCCTTTCTATATGAAAAGCAATAAAATTCTCTCCTTTTTAGGAGAGTTTACATACAAAAAAAAAAGGAACAAGGTACAAAGTTTCATAAGAAACAATCGTACAAATAATTCTAATGGGATTAGTTCTCAACATGCCGTCTCTCTACATAGAAGGTTCTCAGAATGCAGTCTCTATGCAGGAATTAATCTGATTATGACAGTTCCCAAAGAATGAAGTCTCTAATGAGCATGCCGGCTATCGCTCAAGAGCTTTATCAAAGAAGAACTGGTAATCCAATATGCACTTTAAATATGGTAAGGAAAAATGTATTACAAAGTTTCTGATATCTTTCAAGGTTTCACCATTTACATAGCTCAAAAGATTGTTTCATATGAAACCTCGTATCTTGTTGTTCCTTCTTTGAGACTTCTCCTGGTAATATTCTTTTGACACTATTGTTCACATTGTTTAAATGTATTCCATATTGTTCACATTGTTTAAATGTATTCCATTTATATTTTGTATTCTGTACAGTTTCTCTTATTTTTGGTTGCCCTCTACCTGTTTTGATTTGCAGTTATAATTTTGGGGTGCAAGGTGCATTGGAGCGCATTGGGGAGTCTTGGGATCCTGACAGCAGTTTATTTTCCCAGGGAAGAGAGCAATAAAATGCACGAAGAAGTCAGAGCGAAAAAGAAGTATTTGCCTACCTGGGTGTTGAAAAATATGATCTGGGTATGGAGGTGTGTGGAACATGCACTCTAGGGTGGTTGAGGGAGATTGGGGTGCACCTTCCCATGTGGGGCAAGTTCCCTAAATCTGAATTGAGAGAGGCTTCCCACCAACAAAGAGCAGGAAGGATTAAAAGGCTGAAACATCTGTTAGTCTTTGTTCAAATGCTGGAAGCTGGATTCCTCTGCAGGGAGCAGGGTGGGGTTAAGGCCATGCATTTGGTCTGCAGCCATCCAGGAGGGGCGTTGGAGATAACTCTTCTGTATGGTTAAGTTTAGCTTAGATTTATGTTTCTGTTCTTTTCATTAGATCTGTAACCAGTAGGCATGATAGCTATTATCTCTGTCTGTGCTGTAGCTTAATCTGTAGTAATAAAGTCTTGGCCTGTTTAACAAAGGATACTGTTACTCAAATCCTCCTCACACAGACCTTAAATCACTTGCTCATGCTCACATGCTTGCACATGGGATGGGTTGAAGTAATTGGGAACCTCTGCCCTTTGTACTTGCCCAGAGGCAGCCTTTACCAGGGTTCCCCATGTCACTGGTAACATGGGAGGCTGAATTTTAACTTGGGGTGGTGGCACAGTGAAGAGGAACACACTTTTTACATGCACACAACACACATATAAGAACACATAGACCCAGGATGGGTTTATTGCAGTTGCTACTTTTATTGTCTTTGATCTGTTAGCATTTTCTTTTTCTCACCTACACCTTGTGTGTCCCAGTTTGAATTCATTTTATTTCAGTGTGGCTAAAGCTATGTCTGGTACTATGCAATGACTCCTGAACAATCAGTGCATATCCAGTCTTGCTTCTCTTTACTTCATTACCCAAGAGCTACTAGCCTTTCTCTTCAACACATCATAGATATAACATACACGGCCTGTCACAGCTACAAGTGCTTATATTTCTCATACTGCACTATAAAATTTCCTCTTTGTGTTGTTAACAGGTTAGATCCATGCAGGAGTGGCAGCTTTCTGTGAACCAACATCTAAGTGTTGCCAGGCAGCATGGCATCCCTACATCAAGTGCTTTGTGTCCTTCAGAGTTACCCAAAGAGACATCCAGACTGAATCAAGTACTGTCTCCTGTTGCTAGTTCTACCTGGGTAGTTTCAGGTGCTGAAGCTTGTCATAATCAGTCCTTACCAGAATTTCCTGATTCAGGATTTCATTCCTGTGTGACTGACCAAAATTGCCTTAATGAATCACAGAGATCTGAAGAAAGTTTGGTGGAAACAAATGAGAGCACTCTAGGGACTTCTTTGGAAACAGTCAAACAGCATGAAGATTCTCTTTCAGGCTGCTTTTCAGATGCAGAAGATGTCCGACTGAACCATGCGGAATGTAGTGAAACGGGGTCTAACAGTGAGCAGGACAGTAGCCTTCTCCAGCAGTATTTGAAATCAGTTGAGCAGCTAGATGATACTCTAAGCTGCAGCCATGAGACAGAAAGCAGTAGGCTCCAGGCAGCTGTTTTATTAGAAAACTTAGATGCCACAGGCTTCCAAGATGCAGCTGCATCATCACAAGATGGAATTGGTCAGGCATCAGAAGAGTGTAATTTGAATGCAGAGACAGCAAAAGGAAAACCGACAGACTGTGACTCTTCATTCCAGGCACTTCCTGTTAGCATAACTGTAGCAGGCATAGACCTGTTGGAACAGTAGAAAAGCTTCTTTTAATAGATTTTTTTGTTGGTGGTGGTGTTATTTATTAAAAATGATTTTTTAACACTGTTCTGGACTTCCAGTTCCCTGCTGTTAGAACAGTTTAGCTTGCAAACAGCGTTTTACTGATCTGCTAACCCTTGACACTGTGTTAAACTCTAAAAGGTGAGTTCACTATAATGGAAATAATGCACTTAATCCATATTTTTATGTAATTGGACAATAACAGGTTTCTATGAAATAGAATTTTGAACATGCTTAAGTACTTTTTATATTACCTTCATTGAACTAAGCTGTTAGTTTCCCCAAAATACAAAGCATACATTCTTACGAATATTCTCACTTTAGTCTGGTTATGTGGAGAAATTAAAATAATTAGAATATTTGTAAATTGGAGAAGTATGCAGACATCTAAGGGAAAAAGAGAGTCAACATTTCTTATATAAAATTCTAATAGAAGTGTTTTGATAGGCAATTCAAAAAGAAATGCTTATAAACTCAGGTACAAAGCCATAGATTATTTTATTTCCCTGCTTTGCTACACACCTGGATCATTTTGCTTGAAGAAAGAACATATGCAATATGTATTTTTTGCAAATGTGGTTGCTGATTTTCATACAACCCTGTTTTTTATCAGATAGGACTCTCAATAATATAACTGTCCAACACCTCTTCAGACATTAAGAGTAAACTTCATCTTATTCATGATTGATATGAACCTGATAAATAGTTATATTCTCACACTCCTTCCATCATACAGTGATTGAATAAAGAAGTCTTAGGTTGTGACATCTGTATGCGGCTGCCTGGAATATTTGGAGTTATTTGCCTTCTGACGTTAGGACCTATTGGAGAGAGTGCTCACAAGCACATTGATTAGCCGGCTTCATCGCAAACATACTGGGGTTTGCTTGTAATGTCTGAATACAGTTTCCCTGATTTCTGCAAGAGCCAGAAGAAAACTACTATGTAATGTAGGTACTCCAAACAGAACTTTTTAGAGGTTAGGGAGTCAAGGCTTCTTCAGCCTCTAGCTCTCTGTACTCCAGGTTTCCCTTCTGTTTTACTGCAGTAAAGGTGGGTGGATAAGAGATTCTTAAAGGCAACTGGTCAGACTTTTATTGGCTGTAGATTTTCATGAGATGCTGATTTGGTATAAATTTGGGCTCAACATTATTCAAATAATTGTTTTGGTTTGTGTCATTCTCTGCTCAGAATATGAGAGAAGCTCTGTGACTAAATTAGCTCTCTGCTGAAGTGGAATTGGCCTTTATACGATGGCCCTGCTGTGAGCCTCAGAGCTTCTAGCAATCATGGAGAATCATAAGTCCTCCTGATTCCGATTGTAATTATTCAGGAGAGTAACTGTTGTCTTCCCAACGTTAATCCTCACTGGTTTTTACAGTAAACTATTTAACATGCTTTTACAGTGTTAGTTATGAACAGTGGTAAATGGGTATTTTTATATGAAGATTTAGGAACACAGATGTCATCATTGATGTGTGTGTATTTTTCCCCAATGTTAGCTATTAGGACAAGGTTGTAGGCAGCATAAAGAACAAGGTTGAAGTGGTCAATCCAGTGCAAAATTTGCCTTGTATTTACATATAGACGTCTTGTAAAAATCTTCACTATTTCAAGTTTAACTTTCAGATTTACCACCATAGTATTTTGGAATGCAGGAGTGTGTGCTATGATCTTGCATTAGAAAACAATGGTAAATATAAAGGGTTTGCTTATGAAGACTTATCACAGCTTCCTTTCCACTAGATTAGTCACTATGTTCTAAACATCTCGGATATTCCTTTTCTGTCCTTGCCTTCCTCCTCCCCCTACTTGGGAGTAATGCGTAGTATTTTCATGGAATGCATTAATTATAGCACACTTTTGGTTCTGAACATGAAATTAATAAGTTTTAGAAGCACAATCCTATTGTGCCATGTAAGTCTTTAATAAAGGCAAGTGACTTACAATTCATCCTAAACAGTTAACACTTTTCTAAATCCATTTACTGCTTTTATATTGCTCTTGTAAGCCGCCCTGAGCCTGCTTTGGCGGGGAGGGCGGTGTATAAAATAAATAAATGAGTTTAGCATATGACTGCTTAGGGTGGCACTGATATTGACTACGTACCTAGTTTGTACTAGAAAGTGAGACCTAAAGGTACTGCATATATTCTAGCCAAAGTTACATATTTTTAGGTCCCATTAATCTGAATGGAGAAAATCAGTGTGTGACAGAAACCCTAAAACTTACTAAAGGCCCAAGAGTGCTGCCAAGAGTGTCTGAGATTTTGAACCCTTGGAGGGTTAGATGAACAATTCACTTGCATTCCACATTGACCCATCCTGGCAGTCTTAATCCCTTTTGGACAAAGGACAATCTGGTTTGTCCCAGGCCACCTATTTGTCATGGAAGTTCAGAGCCATTGCCAGATGCTTGATGAAGGTGGGACGATATTTTATATGGCTCTGATGGTTAACAGTTGCCCCTGACATCCAAGACAGAGCTTTGCATGGGATTTGCTAAAGCAATGTGCCACTCTTAGAATGGAGGCTGGTTTAGGTCCAATTCGATTTACCATAAATATTTGGACATTTGGGATGTTTTCTTGTTTGCAGTTTTCAGCCTTCAGGGCAAACTACATCTACAGAAATTTGGGTAGGAGTTAATGACCCCTTTGACTTCTTGTTACTGTGAGGATCAAGCCTGCTACAGCCTTGGTAAAATGTGTTTAGCTTAGTTCAACTGTATTGCTTGTCATTTGAACATTGCTGCCACTGCTGTTGTTGTTGTGTGCCTTCCCTGTATTTTTCTTTTTACCCCCTTTAGACCACTTTTTGGATCCAACCACCCTTTTCATTTTTCTCTCTCTTTTCTAATAAACCCTTTTTAAAAAATACTTTTTTTTTTTGCTTTACTTAGTACAGTTTATTTCTCTGGGATATTTCTCTTAATCTCTTCCCCATGTGCTAAACAGCACAGGTGCTACATAGTTGATAAGGTATTTCGTATGGTTTCTACCCTGTCACTTTGTTATTGCTATAGTACTGTGCTAGAAGAGTACCTTCTCAGTGGGTCAGCCTAGATGTTCTCAGGAGGTCTTGAGTGGTGGCAGCTGGTTACCAGGGTGCTTTCCAGGCAGGTCCACAGCTACCTGGAGGATGATGACTCCTTACGAATGTGTCCAGCCCACTTCTCTCCCGGTCCCCCTCCACAGGAGGTGGAGGAAGGCCTGGGGCTGATTCCAGGCATGCCATTCTCCACACGTACTTCCCCTCCAGAGCGTGACTCTTTTTTTTTGTTAAATCTTTTTATTGGTTTTGTTAAAAGATTTACATAAGACAGAACTTATTGCTTCTACATTTCTACATATAGCATTAAAAATTATTACTTACAGGTTAACGACATACCGACACCATACAACCCTATTGGGTAACTGTGAGTTTGATATTTTTAATTTATCTGCTATCACCTATAAGTACAAGCATTTATGATAGATCTGCTTAGCTGGGAGTATATCATTCGTTACCATATAGTCAGAGCATGACTCTCTGTGGAGGACAGTGCGTGCAGGCCACAGCCCTTTCTGGTCTGGCTCCTGGTCCACCTCAGCAGGTGACGGAAGAAAGCCGACGGGACCAGCTTCACTCCTTTCAGTTCTGTGACACCCGGAGCTCCCCTGCCCCTCTCCCCTGGATGTCAGACAACCCCCATGTAGGAAAGGTTGTCCGCCGCCAGCGGGTCGAGGCCTGCTTACCGCAGCGGTGGCAGTCCTAGGTCGCAGCTCTGAGGGCCTCGGAAGCTGAAGGAGGCCACCCAAGGGGATTCTGGGGCTAGCTCAGTCATCCTTGGGAATCTTGGACTGTAGTTGGCATCCCATCTGGCCTTGCCTGGCCCCTGAGCTAGAGAGGAGAGAGGTGGGGGCTCCCAGCTCCACCCAGAAGTGGTGGTGGGCAGAAGCTCCCCCGCCCCAAGCTGCATGATCCCTGTCTCTCTTAATGAAATTAAGTAGCAGGTGGCTTTTAAAAATGTTACCACCAATCAGTCACTAACATAATTAGTGGTAATCTAATTAAGCTCCCCACTCTCCCTCACAGAAAATTGCCTAGGTCCTGGGCTGTTTCCAGGGAAAGGAGTTTCCCAGCGAGGAAAGGCATCATTTTCTCCTTCCTACGATAATACAGTGGGATCTGAAATAGCTTAACTCAATTTGTTTTGAAATCTATACAAAGGTACTACCTGCATTGTCAAGGAACAAAAATTTATGAGCTATATTTCTGACAGTGATGAGACTTTAAAATTAAATAATTGACATGTTTAATCATTTTTCTGTATAGCTACCATATAGTATGACCTGCACATCTACCTTCTAGACGGGTTTATATAAGTAGTCTTCCATTGCTACAGCTGGAGTTGAAGAAATCTAGCATTTTGGAGAGCCAGGGGACAGCTATTTTGGACCCCTAGGGGCCACTGAAAGAAAGAAAGATGTCGACAAAGTCCCCCACCTGCTGCTGTTCTTGAAATAAGGATCCATGAGAATGGAGCCTGAGTGAAAATCAGCAGTCTCAAAGTAGAATTTTAATTTATTTGAGCGAGGTACTTGAAAAGCGAAGAGTTTCTGACTGGTTATTCAGGACCATAATTCTCAGAGGCCTAGAATATGTTCTGCCATTATACACTAGCTAGCTATAGTCACATTGAGTGTTCTTTCACACTGCACTGTAGTGATCTCTTCCTGGCTACAAACAGACATGCTTGTTGGCAGTGAAACATACATTGGATGTTGTCCTGTTGCCTTTGTCTGGCGTAGTACTTAACTGCTTATTTGCTTGATGCATGGAGAAATCCTTGACTAGACTGGAACACTAGTGTACAGATGGCATTGTGAGAAAATAAAATCTATTGTCTGGTTGCCATGATGATAGAAAATCCAAATGTTCAGAGAAGGCTCAGAATGTTCAGTGTAGCAGTGGAGTTCAAAAAACACAAGTTTCTTCCAGTTGAATCCGTATTATTTAATGCACATTGTTTCGTTTGCATGTTCATCCATGTAAGAGCTA